AGGGCCCCATATCGTCCTGGGCCCTGGGCTGTGAGCCTGTCGCAGCACGACTGCCACCAGCTCACCACCCACACCATGGTGGCCTCTGCTCCCAGAGCCCAGCCCAGCCCAGCCCAGCCCAGCGTCAGAGCCCAGGGGAGTTTGCGGTCCTCCAGCTAAGGTGGGAAGCAGGTCCAGAAAGACAGGCGGAGAGCTGCCAGGCTACCCAGCAAGGGGCCTCCCCCTGGGGCAGCCACCTGGTGAGCGCTCTGCCCCTGCTGACGTCCCTGGCTCCGTTCCCTTCCCAGAGACCCTTGCTTCCCTCCCCAGCCCTGTCCGGGCTCCACCTGCCCCTCCGATAGCTCCTGTTGTTTTTCGGCTGGTCACTGCTTCAGACCAGGGGGCTGGCGGCCAGCTGCCTGGAACACCTGAGAGGGGGAGAGGAGGAGGAAGAAGAGGAGGCAGACATGGCGGTGGTATTCAGCCCCTGCCAGGCATCAGGACCGATGCTTTTTACGTTTGTTTCCTGTTTCTTGAACTGGTGAGAGTAGGGGTCCGTGCCTGTGGGGTTCAGGAGTCCCCCACCTTCATGGTGAGGGCAGTTATGGCTGACAGACACCTAAACCCTCTTTTCCCCTGGGTGCTGCCACACTGCTGAGCCCCCAGTGCTGCCCCAGTTAGTGACGCGGGCCGAGTGGGGTCTTATCCTCCGGGCCAGCCGGGGGCCTCGAGGCCCTGCCCCAGCGTCTCCTGCAGGGTGGTGGCTCTCTGTGCCCTGGGCTCCCTGGCTCCCCTTTCCGGAAGCTTGCCGGAGTGGGGCACATGGCTGAGGGTCCTGGGAGCTCACCAGGGCCGAGACCAGACCACTGCCCTTACCTGCTTTTCTCCCCAAAGCCCCTAGACGGTCATCCCCCAAGTCCTGAATTTGAAGATCAGTTAAATAGCGAACGGTAGTGTAGTTTTAGCACGTGTCGCTGGGAAACAGCATGCTCCTCTGAACCCGGTAATGCCTTTCGAGGACCTGTGTTTTATCCATCCCTCAAGTCAAGCAGCAGGTGACATGTGAGTGGCTCAGGGTGTGGCTGGAAATCACAGGTCTTGGGGCTGTTGATACGGCCTTGGCGGGAGGGAGCGGGTAGGGGGAGCGGTGAGCCCGGAGTTAGAAGCTCCTTACTTGAGCTCCTCTGAGCTCCCCACTTGGTGTGCCGCCTCGTGACCCTACCCAGGAGTTTCTAAGCCCAAGGTGCTTTGGAGGGAGACACAGCCCCGGGTCTCCTCAGCTGGCCAGGGCAAGGGCCCTACTCAGGTGACGGTTCCCCAGGAGGGTGGCCCTCTCTGTGGCCAGTGTGGGCTGAAGGCTGCCTCTTGCAGCTTCTCTGCCAGCCTTTAGCCGCAGACTCTCACCTTGCTCCTGGGAATGGCTGGCAGCTGAGTGATGACGACCCAGCCCCTGGTGGCCTCGACCCCATGCTTGTCCACGCCACCCCCTCTCCACCTCAGGAATAGGGGCTGGCACCTTTGTCCCCCCCTGGCTGGGGCACAGATCAGGAATTCTGACTCAGTGGCGCTCTCAGGGGCCTCTTGTGTTGAGAAGTTAGTTCTAGATGAATTTCTTTTAAAACAGAAGGGCCCGCCAGGGAAGGTGGTTCCTGGGGGCTGGGGAGAGGGAGAGAGATGGCAGGTGAGGGGAGCAGGCGATCTCCGGGAGACTGCAGACACTCGTTGCCACTGTCCAGTAGCCTTGGGCAAGTCCCCGACCCTGTCTGTCCCCTCTTTCCTTATCCGAGGGAGGCGTTAACCTCAGCCTTTCCTGTCTCACCTGTAGGAACAAAAGGGGGGAGCAGGTGGGAAGTGTCCAGTGTCGGAGAAGGCCTCCCTCCTTTCACGTTCTTTCCTGCTCCCAGCAGCCTTGGGTGTGGCCAAGAGACCAGTGCGGCTGAGGCTGAGACGGAGGTGGGCTGGCTCTCACGCTCCCCACCCCCCAGCCTCCACGTGTCTGCCCCCTGACCCCAAAGCCCCACCGGAGCCAAACCTGGCCTTGCCCTCTTAGTAGGGTGGGCTTCCCCTGTGCTGAGGGTGGGGAGCGGATCGGTCCTTCCTTTGAGCAAACTGAACGTGTGGAAAGTTTAGCTCTTCATTTACCACGAGGGTTTGGATGTGTTGTATGAAAAGCTGATTTTCAAGCGGGCTGTGAACCAAAGTGTTGCAGGTTCGATTCCCAGCCAGGGTACATGCCTGGGTTGCAGGCCATAACCCCCAGCAACTGCACACTGATGTTTCTCTCTCTCTCTCTCTATCTCCCTCCCTTCCTTCTCTAAAAATAAATAAATAAAATCTTAGAAAGAAAGAAAAAAAGAAAGAAAGAAAGAAAACTAGTTTAAAAAAAGAAAAGAAAAGAAAAGCTGATTTTCCTGGGATTTGGAGAGGTTAAAAAGGGTTCCATTAAAGACACGGGCTTGGCTTGCCTTTCCCATCCCTGGCAGGTTCCAAGCTGGGCCATCCTGTCCCCGAGCGGCCCCACGGCATGGCCAGTGGTCTCTCAGAAGGACCAGGGTCAGAGGCCGTGCTGAGCAGAGCCCAGCGTGAGGCCACGCGCCAGCCCTCAGCCCAGCAGGACGGCTGAACAAACCCTGAAGTGGCACCCCGAACCCCAACCGGCTGGCCCTGGTGATCCGGATCCGAGTTCAAACTCAGCAGTTTCTGCTAATGCCCTCCCCAGGGAGCAGGCTGAGGTCATCATGGGCGGCTCAGGTGCAGCGGATTTAGGAGGTCACCGAGGCCCATCCCGTCCGCAGAGTGGGGACCCAGCCCTGGAGGGAGAGGCCGCCCCGAGGCCTGGGAGCTGGTTTCAGGGGAGAAAGTGTTTGCCTAAGAGCTTGCTGTGTAAACAAGATCCACAGAGGGATAAGCTGAGCCGAGCTGAGGAGACAAATTGTTTTCAGGGACAGGGCAGATCCAAAAAATCTTATCTAGTCATGAGAGAGGCCCCGCTCTTGGGAAATTGCTAACCTGTTGGGGCTCCTCTATGTAGGTGAGAGGCTGGGCCTGCCTGGCACCGGCTGGGCCGCGGCACTGCCTGCACGGGCGCCGTGGAGCAGGGCCTGGCCCGTGGACTTCGGCTTCCGGGGAAGGTTCGGTGCCCTCTGCGGCGCTGTGGAGGCTGCCCTGGCTGGGGCCCTGCCCCTGCTCCGCGTCCAGCTCTCTCTGCGAGGGGAGAGTGGGTGTGTGGGGACCGGGGCTCACCCCCAGAGTCTGCCTGGGGGACAGGGAGGGTGAGCAGTCTGCCCTGGCCCCAGACGCGGCACTGTGCTGGGCCTCAGGGGGGTGGGGTCCCCTCCGCATCTGCCCTGTGGGTTGTGGTCTTTGTTCCTGAAGGTGGCAGACTGGGGGAGGCTGGGGCTTCCGGGAGGCAGGGCAGGCATTTGAAGCATCGCTGGGGGGTGTGGCCCGGGGTGCGGGTGGAGGTCAGGGGCCGTGTGTGGTGTGGGTGGGCCGCGGCAGCTCAGACAGATCCTCCTGAGGCCAAAGCCCCTTTCCTGGGAGGACCTGGGGGGAGGTGCAGTTCGGGTTTGCACTTCCAAAGAAAGCTCTGCGGTATGTCTAGCCATGCCGTTTCTGCACAGGCCCGAAGCAGCCCCCGCCTGGTCCAGCTCACCGGGCCGCAGGGCCTGTCTGTGCTGCACTGCACTGCCCCACTTGGGAGTGAGGCCCACTCGGGAGTGAGGCCCCGTGGCCTGTGGCCAGGACCTGGCGAGGCCTCCCCGGCTGAGGAGGCCTGTTGCCTGCAGCCCAGCCTCGGGCGGGGCCTGCCTCCTGACAAGTCTGTGCAGAGCCTCCGGGGAACCAGCTCCCTCCTGCCCCCTCTTCTCCAGGAACTTCACCACCTCCACCTCACCTCTTCCCAGACAGGCCCAGGGACCCCCTCCCCATGCCGAGTGGCTCTTGCTCCCCAAGTTCGGCAGCCACCACAGTTACTGGGGTGCTTCCGCGGGCTGGGCCCAGCGAGGTCCTTCAGAGCAGAGCCTGACTGAAATTTCCTGCCAACCCTGGAACATAGGTGGGATTATCGCCCCATTTCACAGGCCAGGAGACCGAGGCCATAGGAGGGTTAGTAACGTCCCCAGGGCTACTCAGTTGGTAAGGGGCAGAGGTCAGGGGTTCTCTAATGCCGATTGGGCTCCTGATATTGGGGCCCTCTCAAGATGGGCTGAATTACAGGGTTCTTTGGGTCAAAGTCTTGTCGGTGAACAGGATGCGCATGGCTACCTGTCCCACCATCTGTCCCGGAGCAAGCATTTCTGCACGTGCCCACCATTGGGTGTATGGTAGATCCCGCCTCCTTCCAGCCCCGTGGCCCCCGGCCTAACCCGTGCGGCCCCTAGCTCTCGAACACTGGCCCCGCCCCTCTGGGCCAGGTGGCCGTATCCCGGGGGTGGCTGTTTGCACGCAGGGCCTGTCCCAGGCCCACGGCCCCACGGCCGGCGCCTCCTTGGGGCAGGGCCCCTTCTAGGCTGGCTTCGACCCCATCCTCCCTGCGGACGCAGCAGCAGGCCGGCCATGGGGGGCGTGGCGGTGACACCCGCCTCCACAAGGAGGGCTCTGCCACGCCCACTCCCGCCGCTCCCCTCCCCACTCCAGGCCCTCAGTTTGCACGCCTCGGGGCCCAGCGCACCTGGAGGCTACCTGTCTGGAGCCAGGGCGCTGCGGCTCTTGAGAACCCTGACCTTAGACCTTGATGCTCCCGGGTCACTGGGCCAGTAGGTCCCATGGGAGCTTTAAGCAAACAGAGCTGCTTGGGGCGAGGGTCCTGTCCCCTCTTGTATGTTTCTTCACCGCCAGCCCCTGACACAGGGCTGTGTTGTTGTGGTCTGTGGGGCTGTGGGGGGGGGGGGGGAGACAAAGAGCTGAGAGCCCTGAGCAACCCACAAAAGCTTCTTTCCTGTGCTGGGGGCAGATGGGGACCCCAGAGTGGCAGAACCCTGGCTAGCCTCCGCTCACGCCCTTCTCTGACCCTTTTCCAGCAAATCCTGGCAACGAACGTGCCACCCGAAGATCAGGATGGCTCCGGGGACGACTCTGACAACTTCTCTGGCTCGGGCGCAGGTGAGCTAGGTGCCAGGAAAAGGCTGGAACACACACGGGTGTGGAGTGGCTGCCGTGGGTCCCAGGGGGCCCCGAGGCCACCTGCTGTGGACGCACTTGGGCTCCCACCCTCCTCTTCACTCACAGCCTTTGGAAGCCTGTTTGACTTCTCTAAGCCTCTGTTGCCTCATCTGTAAAATGGGACTATCTCGACTTCATGAGTTTGTTGGGAAGTAGCGGTGAGGCAGCATAGAGCCTGGGGGGCTGCCTGTCTTTATACATGGTCCTTTGTCATCCCCATTTCCCTGTTCCCTGGGGAAATGAAGTCCCTGAGCTAGAGGTGGTCTGGGTGGCCTCCCAGAGGAGGTGCTTTTGAGCCGGACCCCAGAAGAAGGCTGCGGCTGTCCGTAAGGAAAGTGGCCTAAGCAGGGGCCCAGGAACCAGGTGCGAGGACCTGGGTCTCAGTTCTGTAGGAGCCTGGGCCCTTCTGGGGAGAGAGCAGGTGTGACAGGGAGGGGCCCAGATAGGTGTGTGCACCAGTGATAAGGTGTTCGGGTCCCTGAGGGTACCCCTAGCCAGGGAGCGGGTTTCAGCCATTGTAGGAGAGGTTTCTTCCCAGACGGCCCTCGTGCCTTTGGCTCCAGAGAAAAACATAGCTCTCTTTGCTTGTTTTCCACAGTCCAGTTTAGCTCCAGCTAGCCTCACCCTGGGGGCAGAGCCTGTCACAGGAGGAGAAGTTCGCTCTGCTAGCCTGGGAACGGGGGTCACGGGTCCTCACAGCCTGCGTGTGGCTGGTCTGGAAGGTCTGAGGTCTCCCCCATCCCAACAAACGCTGCTTCTGGCCCTGCAGGTGCCCTGCCAGACATCCTCTTGTCCCAGCGGACCCCCACCACCTGGAAGGACCTGGGGCTCCTGACGGTCATGCCCACAGCTCCAGAGCCCACGGACATCGGTCCCGTCACTGCCTCCACCTCCATCCTGACAACCATTGAAGGGGAGGAGGAGGGAGACGCCGTGTTCCTGGCCAAGGTGGAGCCTGACTTGACCGCCCAGAAGACCACCCTCCCACCCAGTGAGACCACGCCACACCCAACCACCCACCGGGTGTCGACCACAAGAGCCACCACTGCCCAGGCACCTGTCACCTCCCACCTCCACCGAGACATGCAGCCTGACCACTTTAAGACTTCAGCTCCCGAAGGAGCTGGCCAGCTCGACACTCACACACCCAGCCTGGAGGACACTGGTCCTTCTGCCACTGAGCGAGCTGCTGAGGATGAAACTGTCACCCACCTGTCCATGGGAGAGGGCTCTGGGGAGCAGGTACGTGTCTGCTCGCTGCAGTCCTCTGCGTTTCCCAGGACGGCGGGCGGCCAGTGGGCTTGGCGGCCCCTGTTGACAGGTTGAGCACGGTGCCTCGGGGCGGGGGGCGGGGAAGGTTGACTGGCACCCCCAGCACCCTGTGCCCTTGAGCATGCCCTGTTCCCCACCACGGAGACAGGGTCATGAGGTCCCACCTTCCCTTGGCCAGGGCTGACCCCCAGGTGGGACAGACGAAAGCAGTGAGGCCAGAGCGAGAGGGTCCTTCAAGAGCACCAGGAGTGGGCCCCCCACACTTGGGCGGGGCTCCCACTGCAGGTGTGAAGTTTCACCATTGCATGTTTACCTTCCGGGGGCATGGTAGTTTCACCCCGGACACTGAAGTGAGCCTATTGATTTTCACATGAACACGCGTGCTTCAGACCACTTGACATATCTCCACCGCAGTCCAGCCAGGGCCCAGCGTGACGTGCTGAGCGGGGCCCGGCTTGGGGGTCCAGAGGTCCGGCTTTGGGGGGGACCGAGCTGGTAGCAGCTCTGACCCTGGAGGCCTGATCTGCTTCTGGGTTTGGAAACGGGCCCGGGTGCTGCCGCTGCGGTGGCCGACCCCACACTGACCCTGACCCTGTCCCTGCCCTCTTGCAGGACTTCACCTTTGACGTGTCCAGGGAGATCACAGCTGGGTCTGTTCTGGAGGTCGACCAGCGGAACGAGCCCGCCCCGGACCCCGGGGCCTCCCAGGGCCTCCTGGACAGGAAGGAAGTGCTGGGAGGTGAGTTTTCTCTCGGGGGGTGGGGGGGGCACCCCGCTGCTTTCGGGGCGGAGGGCTGTCGGTAGCCCTGGCGTGGGCCCCCTCGGGGGCTGGTTGCCCGGGGGAGCAGCCAAACCGAGCCAGCCTTTGTCTGCCCGCCCAGGGGTCATCGCCGGAGGCCTGGTGGGGCTCATCTTCGCTGTGTGCCTGGTGGGCTTCATGCTGTACCGAATGAAGAAGAAGGACGAGGGCAGCTACTCCTTGGAGGAGCCGAAGCAAGCCAACGGCGGGGCCTACCAGAAACCCAGCAAGCAGGAGGAGTTCTACGCCTGACGGGAGCGGGGGCCCCCCCACCCCGCCCCCTGCCACTCGCTAGGCCCCCACCTGCCTCTTCCGTGAAGAACTGCAGGCCCCGTGCTGCGCCCCCCGACACTCCCAGCCCCTCCAGGCCGCTCCCCGCAGAGTCCTGGGGCAGGCTGGGGGGCTCGCCTCTGCTTCTTTGACTGCTTCCCGGAGACCGGGGCGCGAGGGCTTCCCGCATCCGACCTTTCTACCGCAGCCAGCACCCGGCATCTCGCCATTCTGACTCAGTTTCTCCGCCCTGGAACCACTGCTTTGGACCTGGCCGGCTCGCTGGGGCCGGGAGATGCCGGGGCTGGCACGTTGGTGGCACTTCCTGGCAGAGACCGGCGGTCTCGGGGGCGCGGACGGCTGAGTGGCAGGGAGAGGCGTTCAGGGCTCCGCCCGAGTCCACTTTGTTCTGTGGGGAGGTCTAATTTAGATATCAACTTGTTTTTGCACATGTTTCCTCTAGTTTCTTTGTTCATAGCCCAGTAGACTTTATTACTTTTGAGGTAAGTTAAGTTGATTTGGTTAATCCCCCATCTTGCTCCCCTAATCGACGGTCAGGATGCAGCATCAGGGTTAAGAAGACTTTTGTTTTTTTGAACTAGGAGAACCAAATCCGGAAGCCAACATAGTGTTTGTGTTGTCTCCTGAGTTTGTCACTCACGTGTGCAACAGGGTATGGGATGTCTGGGTGGCCCCGGTGGCGGGCCGGCCGGTCTCAGCCGCCATGGGCAGGCAGTTCTTTCGAGCTGGCGTGCCTGGGTCCGTGAACTTGGGGCCAGGGCCGGGGCTGCTGCGACGTGGAGGAGCCCACGTGAGAACGGAGTTCTGGAACCTCAGGCTGGGGACAGAGATGACTGTGGGGTGAGAGGTGGCAGTGGGCCCAGAGGACCTCCCACAGACCAAGTTCCTCCTTTGACACCATCCCTGGAGACCCTTTCTCCTGGCAGGTGGCGAGAGGGGGGTCCCGGGCACACCTGGCACCGAGCGGCTCCCCAAAAGGACCAGGCTCACCTTCGATGAGCTCCTGTGGCCCTGCCCGGGCCTGGAATCAGGAATGTTCCAAAGAGTGATAGTCTTTTGCTTTTGGCAAAACTCTACTTAATCCAATGGGTTTTTCCCTGTACAGTAGCTTCTTCAAATGTAATAAACTTTAATATAAAGTAGTCACGTGAACTCTGCTGCCTTTGCTTCTCTGCCGGCCGAGTGGATGTGACCAGCCTTCTGTCTGAACACAGCGATACTGGGAAACGTGGAGCTGGGGCCTTCCTCATTCCCGCGGGGAGGGACTCTGGGGCCAGAGTCTCACTGGTTGGTTGGTTTTTTGCCTCTGCTAATGGTCTTCGGCAGGTCGGCAGGTTCAGCCAAGGTCGTGCAAGTCCTGATGCCAATGTCTCTGTCGCCAAGCTCAAAGCACCATCTCCCGAACGGTTAGCGAAGCTGTGAGGCCCCAGCACAGCCTGGCCTGGGGCCGCGGGCCCACGGAGGCCAGAGCCAAGGCCGGCCTCTCAGACACCTTTGCAGGAGCAGACGCCCCCCACCCAGGGCCTTCTGGGAACTCCTGTCCTTATTTAATTTGACAGCTTTCCAGCTTTTCTGTTGGCCACTCCGAGAGGGGGGGACATCTGTGACTCAGAGAGACACACCGCCAACATGAAGGGAACCTGTGCCCCGTGTTCAATGCTGGGACTTTCTGCCCGGAACGGATGACTGGACGTGACTCGGGGGTGGGGAAGGGGTCTGTGACCGTGCTCGTCTCTGCTGGCCCCTGGGACGGTGCCGAGCCTGTGGCCGGGCCCGTGCGTGTCACTCGAATAAACGGTACTTGTCATTCTGGGCTGCGGTGGTGGTTGTGTGTCTTCGTGGCCTGGCGATGTCCTTCCCTGTCGTGTGGGGGGTGGCCTGGCTGTGGGCCATGTGGAGCACCTGTCCCTCTGCTGCAAGGGAAGCCGTGGCCACCTCCGCCCTCCCGCCCCCTCCCCGTGTCAGCCCTCCCCGTCGTCCCTCCCCCCAGGCTCTGCCTCGCCCCATCCTTCCTGGCCGGTCCCTTCCCCGAGCACACCAGGCCCCCTCCCGACTCAAGTGTGCTGGTCCTTCCATTTGCTCACGGTCCTGGGACTCCTGAAAACTCACCAGCAGACTGTCGGAAGTGCCGAAGGTCAGGACAAATTGCCTGCACATCAGGGAAAAGCTGCAGCGGGGATGGCGGGAGGTTCTGCACACTGCAGGGGCCCCAGTGTTCCTGGGACACCTGGTGCCCCCCCCCCTGCCCCCCCCGCGCCAACTCAGCCTCTTGCAGGCTGTGGCCCCCACCCGGCCCCTCAGCTGTCCCGTCAGGGCAGGTCTCCCCACCTGCGGCCTTTGGCACTTGACCTGAAGTCTAGCCCTGGGTGCAGGCCAACCCCTGATGCCAGCCCCCAGGTGTGTCCCCGTGCACTGCAGGTGGGTGGGGGGGCAGGGCCTGCAGCTCCGGGCAGCTGGAGGCTGGGACGAAATCCTCAGGTCATTCCACAAACACTGAACACACCAAGTGCTTGTTTTCTGCTGGTCCCTGGGCCGGTTGGTGAGGGCACAACTGTGGAAGAGGCCACCTGGATTTACTGAATGCTCTTACTGAGCTTAAGCATAGGCCAGGCCCTGCCAGACAGCGTACCTGGGCCATTTTGCTCACCGCCGAAAAGATAGCACTATGGTTAACGATCCCGCTTTACAGACAGGCCGAGGGGCAGAGAGGAAGGGTCTTCCCCGAGATCGTGTGCCGGTGAGCCGTGACCTGGGGTTTGCACGAGGGCAGCCTGGCCCCTGCGGCCACAATGGGCCACGCACACACTGAGGGTGGCGCTAGACTGGGGAGATTGTCCATTCTACCAGCAGTTTCCCCAACCCCAGCCTTTGGGGCCACCTGCTTCCGTCACATCCCGACAGGTTAAGCTGCACCCCAGTCCCACCCTGTTCTCTCTGCTGGGTCCTCCCTCCCCGCTTCCTGCTCCTCCTGGGTCACACCCAGGCCCTTCCCCAGGCTACCGCCCAGGCCGGCGGGGCTGTAGCACAGGCTTCCGTGAGTCTCTGGGACTAACAGTCAGGAAGCTAAAATGGGAAGCAGTTGAAAAACCCTGTCTTCAAGTCCTGGTCTCAAGGAATTTCTCTGCCCATCTCTCCTCAGGCCTCACTTGCTGCCCCACTTCCCATGACCTTGACCCTTCCTTCCTTCTCTTCCCCTCTTTCCTGCTTTCCCAAGATTCTCTCTGCCCCATGCCTGGAACGGAGCAACTGAGCACAGTTTCATTTTTTCCCTCTGGATCGTGTCCATGCGACTTGGGTGTGTGTGTTCCACATTGCGCCGGGATGAGGGACTCGCTGAATTTTCCACTAAGAACTCACTTAAGTTATTTTCTAAACGCCTTCTTAATTTGCAGCCAGCTCCTGCCTGAAATTGCACTGTCTGTCCTGCTTGCTCGGGATAGCACTGGGTTTCGCATCCAAAACAAAGATGCACAGCCCGCCCCTCGGGGAGCCTGCGGTCCCGGGCAGACAGGCAGGTGAGGGCAGTTTCGGCGGCGGTGCTCAGTGTGGGCTGGTGGGGCGCAGGGGCACGGCGCCCGGCTTGGCATCTGGGTCACAGCGGTGCCTCCACGGGCGGGGACTTGAAGGACAGATCCAAACTGGCCTCCCTGACAAGACAAGGGCGAGGAGGCATTACAGGAAGGGGGCACAGCTTCGGCAAACACAGTGATGCCAGAGGCTCCGTTCGGGATGTGAAGGGAAAGCAGGTGTGGGAGGAGGTGGGCTGGGACGCAGGGAGGAAGCTGCAGGTCCTTCTGCCTGGAACCTCTCTGAGCGCCTCAGCAGAGCCAGCAGCCACTGGGTGCTGCGGGAAAGAGGAGGAATCGCCGAGGGTGGGGGGACAGCACGACGGGGGGACAGCGTGGCGAGGGGTGAGGAGGAGCACCGGGTGTGAGAACCAGTTAGGAGGTACAGGAGGCTTGCCCCACCTCCCCGGGGGGCACCCTGCCCTCCCACAGGTACCCTGAGGGGAGCCTGAGGGAAGAGGTGCCCGGGATGTGGCTGTCCTCTGAGCTGGCAGTCGGGGTGGGGCTGGAGGGACAGTCATCCCAGAGCTGGGCGTGGGGGTGTCTCATGGCCCCTCCCAGGACGGCAGGTGGACCTCAAAGCAGCATCAGGGAGAGAATTCAGGGAGAGGTCTTTTAAATGGGTCTGGGGACCGCTCCTTCGATAGGAGTTCTGGGACCATGTTCCCACCAGTGTGGCGCCCCATCCCCCTCTCTCTGCTCAACCCACCGGTGGCCGTAGGTCAGCCCCCGGATCCTGGAGTGCGCACGCGGGGAGGGCCCTGGGCTGGGAGCCTGCTAGCTGTGCCTGGCTGAGGACACAGCCCTGGCCCGGCTCTCCCCCTCCCCCTCCCCAGCACCCAGTGCCTACCCTTGGGCCACACCAGCTAGCCCCTGCTCAGGGTGCACGGAGGGGTGCGAGGGTGACAGGCCCCCAAGTCAGGCCCCGGCAGTGCTGTATCCCTCGCCTGCTCAGTGAGCTTCCAGGATGGCCTCGGGGCTTCTCGAGGGAGAGGCCCTGAGTCCTCTGTGCCACTGTAACTCCGGGGTCACCCCTTGGCACCTCCTGTCACATCACTACAGTTGTCTGTCCCCACACTGGCCTCCTGCTACCTATCCTGGATGCTTTCTGAGGGCAGATGCTTTATCACGAACCAGCAAGAAGCCGGGGCTCACTGCAAACATGGCAGCCTTTGCCTTTCGGGTGCTCCTTGTGGCCGCCCGGTGCTCTGGAAGTCAGGCCACTTTAGAGGCTCATGAATGGTGCAAGACACCCCTCCCACCGAAAGACTGATATTGGAGAAAGACAGTCGTTGGAGGGCATGTGACACAACCGGCACTGTCTTGTGCGGTTGAATAGTGTGCCCATCGACACAAGCACTTGGGAAACGAACGCTCAGCATCTGTCTGCCCGACGATCCAGGCAGAAGGAGAGCATGTGTCTACCGGAAGGCGTGCGTGAGAGTGTGCCTAGCAGCTGCCTTCGGCAGAGCCCACACATGGGAACAACCCAAACGTCCATCAGCAGGAGAGTGGATAAACAAATTGTGGTGCATTCACGCGATGGAATACTACTCGGCAAGTAAAAAGGACAGGCCATTGCCCCACGTTCAACACAGGGAGAATCACAGGCAATAATATATTAAGTGCAAGAAGCCGGACACACAAGACCTCATAGGGTGCACCTCCACGCACAGGAAGTTCAGGAGCAGGCAAAAAGACGGATGGCCCTAGAAGCTGGGGGTGTGACACTGTCCAGGCAGCGACTCAAAGGGCCCTTCTCTGAAAGGTCCTCTGGAATGTTCTCTGGCTTGATGCAGGCAGCGATTACGAGAGCGGATGTATATGTCAATAAGTCATTAAGTCACACACTCAAGATGAGTGCACTCCGTGTGTTATTTTGTAATGAGAAAGTTAAAGGGGTGGGGGAAGCTTATAAAAGGACTTCTGAGATTCTAATTAGTTCCTTTAAACTCCGCTGCAGCTTTCTGCGCAGAGAGGAGGGTGGCCCACATGGCCTGCGTGTTCTGCAGCATCCCAGAGGACTCTAATTTACGGGCAGGGAGGCCCAGGGCAAGAGCCCTTCGCGCTGAGCAGAGGGAGCCGCTGCTTCCTAGGCCTGCGGGGCCCTAGCGGCAGGCCCCTTCTCCGCAGGCCCCTCCTCCGCCGGCCAGGAGGGTGGGCACCGCCCAGCGGGCAGCCCTGCCCACACCCCTTCTCCAGCTGCCGCCAGACCCCACTCTTCCTCCGGCTCCTGGAGCCCGCCCGACCCAGCGGTGTTTCCAGCACTTCAGGCGGGGAGCTGAGCTGCTCCGCCACTCCAGGAAAATATTTGTTCAGGGACTTGGCACCCGCAGAAGAGGAAATAAAAGCCACCTTGGAGCCGATCGGGCGGCGCAGTCTCCTAGCTTTGTCTGCCCCTCCAGATTGCCTCCGAGGCCCAAGGCCTGCCGCCTGGGGCCAGGCCCAGGAATCCCACCCCACACATGGGCCGGCGTTGGGGGGTGAGCGTGGGGTGCCAGCTGTTCGCTCCTCCAGTCCAGGAGGCTTCTGTTCAGTGGGCAAATGCGTCTGGAGCCTGCTGTAGGCCGGGCCCTGGGTGACCTTGGCGACCCAGGCGCTGTCTGTACCTTCAGGGCTGTTGTGAGGCAGTGAGAGGGCTGACCAGTGGAAAGGCCATTAATGGCGTCTAGGAGAACTGGCCTGGGTGTGGGGAGCCCAGGGGCCTAAGGATGAATGAGGCAAAGTCAAGGGACAATCGGGGCAGAGTATTCCAGGCATGGAACCGTGTGGCACACCAGCCGAGGCCCAGAGACATGGGAGAGCATGGGGCTTTGGGGTGGGGAAGGTGGGTGGGGTCAGCTGTGGGAGACCCAGGGGTCAGGAGGGGAACCAGCAGCTGGCTGGCCCCACAAGCCCTGTCAGCAGGAGCTCAGGAAAGTGGACTTTACCACCAGGGGTGGAGAAAGTTTTCGATTTGCAACATTTAAACACATTGATTTTGATTCTTTTGATATAGAAAAGTGTAAAGAAGAAAACAAAATCGGCTTCAAATCCCACCACCCAGGTAGTCCCTGATGCCATTTTAAACATTCAAACACCGTGCACATGACAAGAAATCCAAACCGGACAGGAAAGCATCCGCGCAAAGCGGAAGCCTCTCCCGACCTGTCTCGCTCGCCAAAGGCGATTCCCGTTAGCGGGCGCCGTTGTGCGGTTCCCGGCGCGTTTCCAGGCCCGAGCTCCTGAGCAGCGGTCCGTGCTGTGC